TATGTTACTTGGTAATGTATCTCTTGCTACTCTGTTTTTTGGACTTTTTTTAGTTGTTGGAGGGGTTATCAGCCCTGTGGCCAGTCCTTTAATAGGAGGGCCAGGAGATATGTCTAAAATATGCCAACTAAGTGTGTTGTATGAGGAATGTATGAAGCGCGATACCCTCTTGCAAATTTTGCACACTGCTACATCCTCCTACAACACACTTAGTCGGCATATTTTCGGGCAATATCGACTACAACCTTCCCAAACAAGTGAAAATGTGTGAAATGCAGACCTTCGTGTTCTTGATTTGACGTCACATTACCTGCTAGAGCCATTCCTCTTTAAACTCCATTGTGGGGCAAGATGGCGACCAATTTTCTGCATTTTGACTGGGCACAGAAAATTCAAGATTTGAGCAAATTAAAAAAAATTTTGCACAGAAATACTCCAAAAAATAAGCTTATCTCGTTAAGCGAAAAAAAAATTTGGGGGTTTAGGTGCACTTGAGTGCACTTCGTATGATTTGATGACCACAGAATTGTGCACTAGTTTGCCTTCTCAATTCTGTGATTGAATCAAAATGCAGTTTCTGGCTATATAATAAAGAAGAGCCAGTGAATTAACAAAAGTGGCCAAGTGCACTTTGCCTGGTAATCTTTTTCTTTTGCATAATTTTCAAGTGGTGTTACAGTCTTGGTATTGTAACAGTCATCTGTGTGTTTCAGGGAGTGGCAGGAACAGACATTGCTAAGGAAGCCTCTGATGTCATCTTGTTAAATGATGACTTCAGCAGCATTGTAAGTGCTATCAAGTGGGGACGTCATATCTACCACACTGTCCTAAAATTCATGCAATTTCAGTTTACTGTCTGCTGGGTTGCTGTTATTGTGGTGATCTTTGGAGCAGGTCTTGTGGGGGTAAGTTCACTATACTGTTCATGATAAACAGGATTGCTTATCCAGATTATCCATAAATAAATACACCTTGGAGATTAATCATCCCTGCAACCCTCTTCTAAATAGAAGGGATTAGAAGGTCTAAGTTTCAAACTTGCTGGCTCTTGGTTTTGAGATAATTTTTTTAATGCCTTCTATAAGAGTAGCACAAACTGTTACATGTCAAGGCATTTTATTTGTGGGGTGACCTAGGAGCTTTTCATCCCATGCGCAAGTAATGATGTTAACGGCAGCAAGACTGAAGGATTGTAAAAAGCGATTGGTTTGTTTCAGAAACTGCTTCCCACTTTCCATTTCAGCTAGATTTACTGGCTTGGTATTTTTCTGCTGTTTTTAACATGTGGCTTTGCAGCTTTTAATGTCACCTGGTATGATGTTTTTCCATTACTTAGTTACTTTCCTTTTCAGAGGAGCCCATTGGTAGCTACACAGCTGCTTTGGATCAATCTGATAATGGACACACTGGCCTGCTTTGCCTTAACAAGAGACACTCCCATTGACAGACTCATGAATTACAAACCTTATGGTCGTCACAAACCGCTGATTTCTCGCACTTTGCTCCGCAATGTGATTGGTCATAGCGTGTATCAGCTGGTTGTCATATTTTTGTTGATCTTCAAAGGAAGTGACTGGTTTGACGTTGCAGATGGTTTCCATTCAGAGACATTGTGTATGCCCACTCAACATGCCTCCATGGTGTTCACAACATTTGTGCTCATGCAGCTGTTTAACGAGATCAATGCTCGAATGCTTCAAGAAAGGAACGTCTTCCTTGGAGTTTACAAAAACTTTGCTTTCCTCATCATATGGTTTGGACAGTTGGCAATGCAGGTGATTTTTGTAGACTAATTTCATGACTAGGGTTCATCAGTCATTGTGCTTCTTCTTACCCTCTTAAAATAAAGTTAAATGTGATAACAAGTATAACCATTATTTCTTGACTATCAATATTATTATGGTAAACATCATCATCATCATCATCATCATCATCATCGTCATTATCATCATTATTATTATTACTTTCATGCAAAGCTCGGCTCCAGTACAAAGTCTTTATTCTTCTCATTGATTTTCTTTTCTTGTAGATTGCAATAGTTGAGTTGTTCCACTCAGCCTTTCACGTGAAAGGCATGGACTTGTATCAGTGGATGTGGTGCTTCTTTCTTGGCTTCTCCGAGCTCATTTGGGCTCAGATCATCTTTACCATTCCCAAAGATATTATCCCTGAAGCATTCCGCTGTATTGCTGTAGGTACTCCCAAAGGCAGAGGCATTGCTTACTATAGGAGCAGCTCACGTGTTGAACAGCAGGTATGAAGTTTTGGCTTTTATTTGGGGTACAAGAGCACAGAACACGTCATCACTTTAGGTAAATCATAAAACATGAAGATGTGTGATTTGGAAACGTGCCCAAAGGCTATAAAAACTGAAATGTGTGAACATTAGTTAACTCGCAGGCATGTTAATTTGGTAGTCTGGAAATGTTGAAATATGCAAATAAGTGCTTAGCTTACTTGCAAATTACTCAGTAATTTTATCTGAAGTCCATTCCGATGAAGGTTATCTTTGTAAGTATGAGGGGTTAGTATGACTTGCAAGATTTTTTTCGTAGACGAGTATTCCATTAATCTCATACAAATTGAGTTTTTTTTTCTTTTGCAAAAAGTTTGATATGAAGTACGTGGCACTGTTATGGTTCTGTCTTTAGATACTGGTGTTAATGTTGAATCACCTTGAATGTTTGACTCCACAGGACAGTGGTGTAGTCAACTCATTGTTGAGTCCACTGGATGGTGTTCTTGAGATTGTGGAAGATTGTCTCCTGGAATAGCTGCCTTAAACATACTGATGGTACAGAATGCTGTATTTCGTTTACCTGGGGTGAAGCCTGGTCGAAGGGAAATATAAAAGGTAGTAATTAGGGGAAAAAAACTGTCAAGATTGGAGTTAGTTGAAATGGTGCGTGCCACTGTTGTTTGGTGACGATGTCACGTCGGTTACTGAGTAATAGTTGTGAGAACTATTCATTTCCCAGAAAGATATAAATGGGCTATTACTCCCCAAATACTGGGAAAGTTTTCTTTTATTCAGCAGAGACATAAGATTAATTTGCTAATCAGTCAATTAAAACTAGTTGGCGAGTTTATCGTCATTTTCAAGTTAGCTTTGTTGCTTTCCTAACTTTGGTAGTAGCTCTAATAGCTTTGGTGCGTGCGTGTGCTGCGAGTTTTTGCTAGAAATAAAAAGGAAGAAGAATGTTTGTTTGCAGCCTTCGCCTTCGTATCTTGCTGCTTTGACTTATTTCCATTTCAATCGAGCGTTTGAATAAGATTCATAGGAAAAGACTCGGTCTGTATTTGATTGCTTTTATTATGAATATACTAAGAAGCAGTTTTCGTCTGGAGAGAACTTTTCTTTAATTAAGTACCTTTAAAGTTTGAAAATCGTGGTAGAGTCAGTTCCCTAAATTATAAGGTTATAGTATCGTACCGTAAATGTTAAATCCATCTTTTGGGTGCTCAGCACCGTTGTTATACGCGAATTTAAAATGGTTCTTTAATACAATCGGCTTTAAAAGCTAACTAAAATTTACGATGTACTGCTTTTCAGTCTTTTAAGCCACATTTTCTTAGCTCGAAAATTTCAACTTATTTATATAACAGGAAGAGTATTTTGTTTGGTAAATTTTTTTAAGGCCAATAAAGACTTGAATGGCATGTTGAGAATTAAAATGCTTCGATCGGGGATACTGCTTTATGAAGATTAAACTGATGTGTGGGGTCCATGATGAATTATTCTTCACAGCTTTTAAATAAACTATTCAAAATGAAAAAAGAGATTTGTATTCTGACTTCGCATGGGTAAAGTAAGGACTCTTCTCCATTTTTTTTCCTTTAAAAAGAGAGCATCACTGTTTGAATCAGCGACTTAAGCCGAAAAGAGTCGCTAAATTTGCGAGGCGAGCAAGCTGCGAAATACGATACCCTGAGTTATTCAACAGAAAGATGGAACGGACGAAAGGTGAATCGGTGGAATTGTTGAATATGTTAAGACGCAGAATGATGGAATATCTTAAAACGTGGAACACCTTTTTGTATGAAACAAGAGTCTCGAAAGATGGAACTGTAATAAAGTAGGGAAATTACTCATAATTAACAAGCGAATTAAAAGAAGCATAGGTTATTATTGTTGGGGTCCAGAGATTTGGCAAACCAGGAGTCTTTCGAGCTAGTCCCTTTAAATCATTATTATATTGATGTTATTGTCATATTGTTATTATTATTGTTAACACTATTATTTGATACCTTTTAATTATTGGCTGAAAGTCAATTAATTTATCTTATTAACCAAGCGCAAGGGCCGTACTGGGAGAATATCGACCCGAGGTCTTGACAGTACGGACCGAGCGCAGCGAGGTCCGTACAAAAAAGACCGAGAGCCGATATTCTTCCAGTACGGTTCCGAGTAAGCTTGGTTAATAAGAGATTTATTATACGACTGAAGTTCAAAGGGACACAAGTGCGGTATCATTCGGGACCATTCGGGACAGTGCCCGGTCCAATACTGAGAGAATATTGACCGGCAATAGAGAATTTTGATTGATTTTAGTTATTGGCCCTCTGACTGCCTGAGTCGTGTAATAAGACGGTGGCCAATTTACCATTTCAACTTTGTTGATATATCCAAATTATTTCGTTACCCCTACCGACGCATCCCCTAACAGTTTCTTTAGCAACTATCAACCTTTATTAATAAGACAATATATTAGCATGTAACACATATATTCAGAACAAATCAACCTCCTAGCCTTATCGTACAACCTCTGCTTCTTTTAATGCTATAAAATTGTACTTTACCAGTAGCCCCATGCAATCTTTGACTTTCTATTTTCTAACCTAGACCTTTTTCGTACTATTTCCTTTTCACCGAAAATAATGGCAGTTTTGTTTACTGGAAACAACTGTCGTAAGTGAATTTTTCTAGATGATGTGCCTAACAAGTTTGTTATTGCCCAGAGGCCACATGAGTTTCTAGTAAAAACCGTCACAGGTCATTGCCGATCAGACATAAAGTGATAAGTTTTCGCCGGAGAGTGACACGCGGTTCTCTAAATCTTCCTCATTTTCTGATTTCCTAACATCATTATTCAGTAATTACAGCTTTGGAAGTCGTCCATGGCTTCACGATCCCTTCAAAGCGCTGAAACAGCAAACATTTGTTTTTTGTTTTGCTTTGTTTTGTTTTTCTGGCTCCTTCGAAAAGCACACCTGTATTATGCAGAGAACAATGTACTGAGCCCCCTATTAGACTATATTCGGCTGCCGGCACAGGCATGCACTGAAAGATATCAACCAAGGTCTTTCAATGTTTAATAACCCTTAATGTGCAAAGCACAATCTGGACACGATTACATAACTGCGTCATGTTGTGGAGAGGCAAAAGGAATTCAGTTGCAGCATTCACCCTGTCATGGATAACTTACTGAGGCTTGAACGTGAATTTAAGCTTTATCGAGTTGTTTTTAACGTAGCTATTGTTTCCTCTATGAGATAAAAACGTAATTGTTGCGCTGCTATGGCGACAATTCCCTTTGTTTTTCACTTATTATTCAAATGATTTGCTGAATCAATCACGAGAGATTTACTGCGTTCCTCGTCATAAAAACAGCAAAGGCAAAGAGAAAGTTGGAATCTGCCTCAATTTCCAAGTCTCCTGCCCAATACTGTTTCATGAAAAAAAAAACGTCGTGGATTTTTTATGAAAAATGAAACTGCGAACATCAGCAAAATTTAACGTTTTGTGATTCTCGGATTACTCGATAATCTTATTCAATTTCCTCGCGGCGAGTTCGTGATATCGCCGTAAACACAAATGTGATAACTTCGACCTGCTCAACACTCAGGCAGCAGAAATATGGCATTTGACAGTCCACACTGCGCTCCGGATTTCCCAAACCATCAAAAACTAAAACACAATTTCATCAGCCTGATGGAAACTCGAGGGCGCACAGCAGTGGACCGTCTTGAACGAGAAATTGGCGGCGTTAAAGCAATCGTGCAGAAGCTTCACACTTCCACCAGAAAGGGTCTGATTGGTATTAAAGATGGGCTCGCAAGAAGAGAAGTTTTCGGCAGCAATCATCTGCCGGTTAAGCCGCCTCAGAGCTTTTTGCGATCGCTTCTTTACTCGCTCACAGACTCTGTGTTAATAATTTTAGTACTGGGAGCCATTGCTGCTCTGATTCTTGGCTGGTATCACCCTGAAGTCTGCGATGGAATAGAACAAACCAGTACAGCTTGGATGGAAGGCTGCGGAATTCTCGGCACTGTGGTTGTAATCATTCTGTGTTCAGCTCTGAGTGACTTCTTTCGAGACCGTGAATTTTATAGAATGCAAATTAGAATGGAGAACAGTCGAACATGCACTGTCATAAGAAGTGGAAAAGAAATGAAAATCTGTTGCAAGAATCTCAAAGTTGGTGATCTATGCGTTCTAGAAGTCGGTGCAATTGTTCCAGCGGATGGTGTTCTCGTTCAGTCGAATGAATTAGTCACAAATGACAGTAATGTTGACGATGGAGTGATGGAGGCCTTCAAAGGCGATGCAGACCCTTTGGTGTTCGCTGGAAGTTACGTGAGAGAGGGAAGTGGCAGATTTTTAGTCATTGCTGTCGGTAAGGACACTCAAGCTTACAAAAAGCAGGAGGGCAAGCCAAAGGATTCTGGTCAAGGGTTTAACCCAGATGACGAACGTGGAACCTTGCAGGGAAAGCTTAACAAGGCCTCGGCTATCTTAGGCCTTATTGGCATCATTGTCGGCGCGCTGGTGACGCTTATTATTATCTTTAGATTCAGCCTTAAAACATACTCAGTGGACGGTAAGAGTTACGATGTAAGTCACTGGATTGAGTTCGTACAGGCTATAATAATAGGAATAGTCATCATCATCATCGCTGAACCAGAAGCACTATCATTAGCTGTCACAATAACACTCTCTTACTGTATAGAGAAGTTGCATTCCAGGCAAATATTAGTCCGGAATGTTGATGTGGTGGAAAAGATGGGGAACCTAACGACGTTATGTTGTGGAAAAACAGGTGTGTTGACTGAGCTGAGTGAACTGACTGTCTCGGAACAAGTGGTGGAGTGTTGTATGGCTGACCAGATATTCACTGGAGATCCGCGTTTTTACAGCAACAGGTTGCCCTCGAATGTAGTTAAAGACCTATGTGATGCAATATCAATCAACACCAGTTACTCCTCTAATATCACGGTAAGCTTACTATAAATCATTAAACGTGGAAACCCTTGCTATTTCCATTTATTGTCGTTAACACGTAAAATAGGACAAGGACCTGTCTAGAGGTGATTTCATTCACAAGATGTTAATCCTTAAAAATTGCTCTTCATCGTTCCTTAAGCCGAGTTAGGATAATATAAATAGAGTTATCCTGGCAATGGTTAAAATATGGGAAGCATCACACCTTAACTGATCGAACCAAGGTGTGATTTATCGAACCTCATTAAACTGGAGTCTGTCAAAAATGTTCCCCGTTGGTTTTGTTCGACTACTAATCTCAGTGGAATCCAACAGTATAGCTGAGTGGAGTGCTGACCCGGTGCTGGAATGAAGATTTTCGAAAATATACAATCCAGAACTGCAAAATAACTCCGAAGTTAAAAAGCTCTCAATTCCCACAAACCGTTTGGTTTCTATTAACGGGGAAATATTCGTATTGTTCTACATTATTTTATCCGCCAACAACTAATATTCAAATGTGGTCTAAGCCGTGACGTAAAGACGATGATTAAAAACAAAAAGGCCGCAGTGAACCATGACTCACTGGTTTTATCAATGATAAAAAAGAATTAACAAAACAAACCAACAGAAGATTACATCTCTATTTTTAAATGCTCATGGAATAAACATGGTTGAGCTGTACTGATTTTCATGAAATTGTTTTTGCTCGTAATGCATGGCTCCTTAGGGTTATTTGTTGTAAAACTTTCCGGTCCAACAGCTAAATCTGTATACAACGTAAAACAAGACTCCGTACAAACAATAGCATGAAAAAGAAACAACTCAGAGTCAAACTTTGCCTTTGCTCCTTTTAAAAAAAAAAGGAAGAGCCTTCCCTCATCCTCAGCGTTCAGATAAAGTTAATTTGGTCAACTTGTTCTTTCAATGACTGGCCCCAATTTGTCACATCATTGACTCATCTGATGTGTTTAGTCGTCAGGCCCTGAATGTCTCCCAAAGCAAACCGGTGACAGGACAGAGTGTGCTCTTCTCCAGTTTGTGCTTGATTTGGGCGTGTACTACCCTTTCATAAGGAAAGAACATCCAGAGGAAACATTTGTCAAGGTGTTTGGCTTCTCTCCGGAACGTAAGTTTATGAGCACAGTCATTGGGGATGGAAATGAGTACAAGATTTACGCCAAAGGAGCACCCGAAGCCATTCTCCCAAGGTGCACAGGGATTTTTATGGAAGGAGGAAGGGTTGCTATGTTTACTCCCGAAGATAAAGACCATATCGGCCAAGTTATTAGACACATGCAAGAGTGGAGTCATTTAAAAGTCATGTGTCTTACTCAAAGATCCCTGTACCCCTCAGGTGAGTTGTGCCAAGTCAATTTTTTTATGCGGTGTCATTGGTTTCCCTGAAAACATTTCTGCGTAAAAAGGGAATGTATATTAAATTCGCATGATTTTAACGACGAAAAAAGAAGATCTTTACCTGTGGTTTACGTACATTGATTTATGAAAGAGTGAAACGCACTTGGAGGATTTGGACTCACTCTCAGCTGACTAAGAATTTCTATCATATCCACACTGATTTGCCCCCCAGTGTTCTGCGGTTGTTACATGACAGACGCCAATAATTTTTTATAATTATTGTTGTTGGGTGAAGTGGGCGATCCACAGTGGGATAACGAAGAGGAAGTGATATCAGAGATGACGTTGATTGGAATTGTGGGTATCGACACGGTGGATGAGGATGTAAGTACCTAGAACTGTTTGATATAACTAACCTAAGTTACGCTGGTTAGGAGATTTTTAAGAACTGGTCTCTCCGAGTTATCCCCATGCTTTGCAAATTTCTGTTAAATGAGTACAGCCATGAGGATCAAGTGTGTTTATTATGATCTGTGAAAAGAATATTCCCAGAACTTGAGGAAATTTGCTCGTTTAAATATTTAACCCCCGCCCAGTTAGCCCAATAGATAGTGTGCTGGACTGTTGTGCGGGAGGTCGAGGGTTCAAGCCCCGGCCGGACCAACACTCAAGGTCTTAAAATAAATGAGAAGAATTTGCTACCTTTCTATAACATCAAGAAATGGTTAGATATTCTAGTCTTCTCGGATAGGGACGAATAAATGGAGGTCCCGTCTCCTGCAGGGTTGGGGTAGGAGACGTTAATTTCCCACACACGAGATTACTGTGGGATGGATGTTCTCCCCTGGGGTGGGATGGGTGGGTACAAAAGGGGTTAGGTGTCAATTGGGACGAAAGTTCTGTTCCTTTCTCCTGCCATTCCCGTGGCGAATGAATTACATTTAGAATTTAGAATTTTTTTTTTTTTAGAATTTAGAATTTAAGTTCAAAGCTGGAACATAAACATTCCTGGCAGGTGTCAAGGTTAGCACGAGATGTTTCATTCCGGGGGCCAAACAGTTACTTATTCTTCAAATAGCCTCCGAAATCAACATGTCGACAGTTATTAAGTACGACCGTGAACAACAGCCTGTTTGTGAACCCTCTATCTGTGTTCCTCGTTTGCTTCTTACTTATCTAAATCGACTAAAAAGCCTGATAAATACTTCCTCAGGTAGACCAACCCAACCCCCCCCCTCCTTCTTGTCCAGACCTAAACTTTTGCGTCAATTCGATTTGGAGAGGACAATAAAAGGCACGTCCCTTTAAAGTTAAGTCTGACTTTTTACGCTTTGACGCTCCTCGTGCTTCTTTTCAAAATTATAATTCCTCGGTAAATGTCTTTTGTTGCCTCTAAACATTTATTGAATGGCAGGGGTTCGGGTAACGCAAAATAGAATGTGAATGAATTCAAATAAATTTATGAAAAACTTTAATAAGAATCTTTATAATGCTTGACACTCGTTCCGCCTTGGATTTCACTTTTAAAATAATCTTTAGGCGACTGTTGAAAGTAGAAAAAGAGCAATGGAAGGAAAATTGGGTGGGAAGACTTTTCGAAGGTTTCAACACTTGAAGAGATATAAAGATGACAACTTGAAACACCCAGATTTTCTCGAGGACATCTGTCGAGGAATCGCCGTTAACACGAAATACTCATCTAACATTGAGGTAATGTGGCTAATAGATAAAGGATAGCTCGGACTTTTTTTTAATTTTCCCCGATGCATACAGAACTACAACCACGCCTATGAGAGTAGGTGTTAGGTACTTTTTGAGTGGTGAACACATTTACACCTTTTTTTTTTTTCAAACATTTCACATTTTTTGCACGATATTTTTCTCAAGTTACAATTTGATTCCCGCAATGCAAGCGTTTATAGCAGACAATCCTTTTCCAGTCCTACTTTTCCTTTAATCTCCCTTGTCCTTCAGGATGTTCAAACCCCCCTTTTCCCACCGTGTACTCCCTTCACACAAACCCCACAGAGACCTTTCTGAACAAGATCCAACATAACAACTGACGTAAAAGCTCAGCAGTTTTAATTTCCGTTCCCAGGATGAAGACGATGACCACCTTCCTAAACACATTGGTGACAGCAGTGATTGTGCTCTTCTACAGCTTGTCCTTGAAATGGGTGAGACCTACCAGGTCTGGAGAGATGAATATCCTGAGGATATACTAGTGCACAGACGTGCTAGTCCTAGAGAGGCACCTCCAAGTCACCAGCACACTTCTGTTGTTATTCACTTGAAGGATGGTGGCAGTGGAAGATACAAGTTGTACTGCAAGGGGGCTCCTGGGTATGTGCTGTCACGCTGCACCCAAATGGCCCTTCCGACACTTGAGAACGTTTCATTCGACGATAAGGACAAAGAAAATATTGGAAAGGAAATCAAGAATCTGCAGACAAGCAAGCAGCTTGAAGTTATTTGTTTGGCGTTTAGATACTTTCCGGGTAAGTTAGTTGCTTGTGGTCCATCGAGACAGTTGTTTGGATGACTTCCTCTGTAAAAAGGCAAAACACGGGTGGCGATTCTAAATTCAACCATCTAAGATAGTTTTATCATGAATATCGCTCCGATGTTCTGTAGGAAGAGTGCAAAAGAGTCTTGCCCGTCGAAACCCAGAGTATTTTAAGTGAACACGAGGAAATAGTCGAACAGGTGTGCCCCCTTTTTTCCTCTTTATATAAATGGTAGAAAATATTTCATATGTTTTTTAAAATGTCACCTCTTCCTTCTTGTAGATGACTACGACTGGGACGACGAGGAGTCAATGTCAGAGCTTACGTTCCTGGGTTATGTTGGTATTGATGAAATTGTCCGAACACGGGTAACTAAAACAAAACTACCGTAAGATAGTTCTACTCCATTGATATCTCTTGAATTATCATGTTTTTATAACACAGCAAAGTGTAGCAAACGATTAATTGGTAAAATGAGACGGAATCGTGGTCAGAGGCAAGGAAAAATTTAAGAGAGAAAGAAAAATCACCAATATTTAAATCAAATAAAGTTCTTCTCGAGGTACGTGTAAAAAATAATCTTGTTATAGACAAAAATCGTACTTGTAAAAGTGCAATGGAAACTTAGTAAACTCTATGAGACCCCTTCGAAGCTTTTTGTATGTCTTTGTATCTAGGCTGTCATAGAGGTCTAGTGTTGCTAACGTCTTACAAACCCAACGTGAAAGCCGTAGTAGGGAATCCATTGGCCCGAGGTCGTGACATTAGGGAGTTTAAGAAAGCCAAGACGGCAACAGCAAAGAGAACCTCACTAAATAATAAGCAGAACAATCTTTGCGTCCTCTGCAAAGCAACAACGTGAAATGACCAAACTTTGCGTTGTCTGGAGAACGTGAACATAGTTAGTAGTCCCCTCTTCTAACTATGACGTGAATGACGACGTCTAATATTTTAAATTTCTAATTCTAATTTAACACTGTGTTTCGTATTCAGTTTCGAGACTGTGACTGTGAGAAACAAACTGAATGACTCAAGAGTATCGCGAGATTCGTGGGTAAAATAAAAGTTCATTTTTAACCAACGTTGTCCATGGCGTCGCCGTCGTTGTTTCTTGAACTCCCTTGGTACGTCTCGAACGAGCGAGGTTGGTAAGCGGTTTATTGTGAGGCACTGAAGTCAAACCTGTATATTTTACATTGGTTGGCTTCCGCAACCAAAAAATATACGACTTTAAGACTATTTCCGTGGAAACAATCTGTATGGAAAAATACGGAGCAAGTCAAGAACCAATCAAAACGTTCGGATTTACCTTAGGACTATTTTGCTATATAATGATATGTTATTCCTAAATGATTTCGTCACTCTGATGTAGGTTCCGGATGCCATATGGGATCTCCACCAATCAGGTATTAAAGTGTGTATGGTTACTGGGGACAACTTGAGTGCTGCAGGAAGATTCGGCTCAAAGAGCGGAATCCTGTCACCAACAAGTGATTGGCCTCTCAAAGAATTTTCCTATTTTGGATGTGATAGCAAAGTTTTCAGCAGCGTGAGTAGGCATATATTACATAAACTACTTCATAGAGATGAGCGGTTTACCAAAAGTCGTCGAGGAACTTGGTTGGTCGACCAAATGATACCTCATCAGCTAAATATTACCCAGAGTACCCAGGAAGATCGTTTTTCCTCAAAACGCATTACACAAACATGTAAAGGCAGATAATTTTCATCCAAAAGAACAAAAGACGACTGTGGCCAATGAAGCCATTTACCAATTTAATATTTTTGTGAAGGTGTAGTCTGATCGTCCGGGTGAGTGTAGTCCTGAGAAGGACTGTTGTCGGTGGCAGTGACTGACGTTTCGACAACCTGTGCGGAAGTCATCACATGTTACCCCCGGGTTCAAACCATTTACTGCATTAATATTTTTGATACACAAACAGATTAATTCATTATGAACATAATTCAATCTGATCTCGTTCAACCGTTACAAACTGTTTCTGACCATTCTTAGTTGTTCAGTATCTTTCAAATTGTTTCATGCACAGATCACTAAAGAAAAGTTTGACAAATGGTGGCCAAACGAACTTCGTATCCTGGCCTCTGCTGGAGCGGCAGACAGACTAAAATTCATCGAACACATTCAAAGGAGCCGATCTTCTCCCCGTGGTGAGATAGTGGCTGTCACCGCTTCTGGCGTGAATGATGACAAAGTATTGAGGAGAGCTGACGTGGGACTTACCATGGTAACTATGGCAATTTACTTTAACAACTTGGGACCTAGATTCCTTGAATGAACGCGCGGAATTTTTTAAATTCTATTCTTTGCATTACGTCCGTGAGTATATGGAACGAATACGTTTAAAATTGTTTTTGAATAAATCCGTCAAGTTGGGAGGGTTGTTTTGAAACAACTGCTCCTGGTCTCTTTCGGCTACGGACAAACGCACACTTCAAGCTATGCATCTAATTAAGGAATAGAACACATTTTTTTTCTGGGCTCTATACACCACTTTCATAAATGGCTGCCTGATTGATATTCTTTTGCTTAAATTCAAGTTAGCCTCACTACCCTCGCTTGAGATATTGCATTCTTTTGAATTTTGAACTGGAGAACGAGGCCAGAAAGGCTTATTTCAATTTAAACAAAAGAATATCAATCCGGCAGCCATTTATGAAACTGGTCAGTAACGCGATAAAGCCACGTGGAATGTTGGGAGAACACGAAGAAAGCTAACAAATCACGAGCCGTAGGCGAGTGATCTATTTGCTTTCCGAGTTAACCACCATTCGTCAATGAAAAACCTTTTGAAATGATTTCTTTCCACAGGGCGTGTCTGGAACAGACGTTGCGAAGGAATCCGCTGATATTGTGTTAGAGAATGACGACTTCACCAGCATTGTCGAGGCAGTCAAATGGGGACGTAACTTGTACGAGACCATCCTCAAGTTCCTCCAGTTCCAGTTCACCGTCGCGTGGGTTGCTATCATCGTTGTGATTGTTGGAGCGTGTGTCACAAAGGTAAGGCCATTAATGCAGTTGATCTAATAAAGAGAATTTGGTATGTGTATATGGCGCTTAATACCGATTCAAACATCGTGCCACTTACACAAGGATTAAAAAAATCGGAATATTCAACTGAGTCCCCTTCACACTAAGCTTTGTGGGACACGAAAAACTAAACCGCCAAACTAAACTGATTGTTTTTCAGTGAAACAGTGTCTAAAGCTGAACCAATGGAGTCCTTGGTCAAAAGATTGACGAAGCTGTCAAAGTTGGTTACTGCTTTGGTGTCAGTATCAGAATTGTAACAATGCAAAAATTTTCAATCGGTATGATTCAAAACAACTAGTGAGGCGATATTACGTCTGTAGGACACTAATCTGACTTTCCTCTCAGGACTTTAGATTAATATCGATGACTTGATGGTTTTAATGCCCTTTTAGGTCGTTTTGTTTGAGGTGGGTATCTTAAAATTATACCACAATATATATTTTTTTTATCTCACAGCGAAGTCCTTTGTCAGCCACTCAGCTGCTTTGGATAAACCTTATCATGGATTCATTGGCGTCGTTCGCTCTGACACGTGATCAGCCATCGAATGACATCTTCAAACACAAGCCTTACGGTCAAAGAAAGCCTCTTATATCCCGCGCTCTGCTCAGGAACGTGATTGGTCATTCCATATACCAACTGGCTGTTATGTTCTTGTTAATGTTTGTTTTTCCTGATTTCCTGGACATGAGAGATGGATATGAGGAATCCAGCGTGTGCCGACCAACTCAGCACAAGACCATGGTGTTCACGACCTTTGTTTTCATGCAGCTTTTTAATGAAATCAACTGCAGGCGGCTCCAGGATAGGAACGTGTTTTATGGATTGTTGTATGGCAAGCTCAGAGATATCAACTTCGTTTTTATCATAATCTGGATTGCCTCTATGGGAATTCAGGTACAGTTTGATTTTAACAAAGTATTGTTGTCATGGTATGCAATACATGGATTATCATCATCAGTATGTGGCTCTTACTTTTCTTTGTTATCGAACTGTTGATTTCTCAATCATTATACTTAAACTAACAACTGTGAAACCAGCTGTTTCCTCAGACCAAGACTAATTTCCATCTCTGTTACAAAGAAAAGACGTTATTACAAATTGCCGTGCATCTCTGTTTTGATTAATACCTTTTTTCTGCTTGAGTTGTAAGATTTTGAAAAAATTCGTCTATTGAACAATGCTCCAAGGAAATGCCAACACTCAAAATAATATGAACTGAACCCAACACCGGTGACTGCACTTGGTGCGTCACTTCTTTTATTTGTGATCTATTACTGAACAGACGTACGGATTCCATTCCAGTTATGGGCAAAGAATATTCAAACAACTGCGAAAGTGTCTTAGTAAAATTGCACGTGCTCTTAGCCGTCAGTATATCGAGGTATGGATGCACGTGGGAGTTCTGTGGAAAACAAGAAAAGCGCAAAAGTTGCTTGAAACACAAGTCATTTAACAAATGGTAAACACCACAGCGTACACTATTGAGTTATGGATGCACGCGGGAGGTTGCTAAGCACGAAAGAAGCGTAAGAGTCGCTCGAGGCGATAGCCGAGAGCGACTCTAGCTTCTTGAGTGCTTAGCAAACCTCTCAAGTGCATCCATAACTCAATAGTGTTCGCTGTGGTGTTTACCATTTGTTTTATAACATAACATTGATACATTGTAGCTAAAGAGTTCCCGTTTATTTGACAAATCTTACGCGACCAGAAAAAACAAGCGCGCGCGGAAAAATAGTCTTTGCATTTGCTCACGTCAGCAGCGTACACCCATGGGCAAATGGGGAACGCTAAATTGACCAATCAGAGCGCGCGCTTTACTTTGGTTATGTTATAAACCAAGTTATAATAGGAATCTCTGTTAATGACCCTTGTGAGCAAATGACAGTGCAAACGCACATAATCATCTTATAATATTACAATTATACAAGTTAACTTTGCTTTATAAAATGATTTTAGATCATCATTGTACAATTCTTCACAAACGCGTTTCGTGTGATTGATATGGAGTGGGACCAGTGGATGTGGAGCTTGTTTTTTGGGTTTTCTGAGCTTATTTGGGCCCAGCTCGTGTTTACTATTCCCAAGGGGATTATTCCTCGTCAGATTCGTTGCTGTACGACTGGAATCAGCAGAAACAAAAAAGATTGCTGCGAGAAGCTGGCCTTCACCCGGGGAGTCTCCAAGGTTCGAAAACAGGTGAGGTTTCAAAGACTTCGAGTTGAGCACGGTGCTATGAATGTAATTCAAAATCAAAGCTTTTGAGGATGTACTGTTCACTTCCCTGTTGAAATAGTATCCGATCAGGTTCCTCTTTCTCCAATAGTATGGCGATGCTTTCTAAACAAGAGCCTCTATTTAGCGAAAAAAAATGTTCGGATATTCGTTCTTGGACATTCTCTCTTCCGAGAGGTGAAAAGTTTTCCGAGAGCGAGGTTCCAGAAAAACTGTGAGCTCCAGGAACAGGTGTTGTCCAATGACATATATCTGCGAATATTTTCGAATCAAATAGAGGCTGAGTTTATTACTCCAGAAATATTTTTGCACCGCGCGGAACAAAGTGTTTTGTTCACGAACAGCTTACCGTTTACTGTGGAGAACGTTCACACTACAGCATTCTTTGGTATGAATTTATGAACAAATAAATGTGTCCCTTCATTAAGCTCTCTCATCCTAATCTCTCCTAATCAATCCTAATCCTCTCTCATCCATTTTACATCAAATTTGGGAAGTATCACCTAAGAAATGTCGCCGGACATTCCCTGTGGAATGGGGCATATATGACGAGTTTAAAGCAATTGCGTGCGTGCAAAAATATTTGTAGATTGTAAGATCTGATAGATAGTCAATGACAACATTTGCATCACGAGCTATCGTCATAATTTGTCAAAACGAGAGTGGCTATACTGCTAATTTCACGGTAGAGGGTAAGTTGATATACGAGGATTGCGAACGATTTTGGTAAACAAAACATCTTCAGAGGCCCAAGACTATGCTGGCCTTGGTTTCTTTAAATCCTCCATAGTAAAATGGAGACATAGTACCATCAAATATTGCAGCACACCACCTTTTTCTTATAACAATAGGTTAGGGTGGTAAGATTATTTACCAGTAATATGCTAGGTATTGAATCAAAAAATTTTTACGAGGCATGTTTTGAAAGGTTTTTTTTTTTGTTTCAGAACCTGACGATGTACAAATATGACAATAGGAATATGAGGATTTTTGACAACGGGACAGTGACTCCTGCTGCAGAGGAATACAGTATGACCACTGGAAACTGATGAAACAAGGAACATTTCACTTAATTCAGAATTTGTTCAACTGACTATTCATAAAGTCGCAACTAATACAGCCATGTTAAACTTGGTTTACACTTGTGACATAACGATTCATGACGTAATTTAGTTAGATGTAGCACCCCACTAGTGTCCAAGAGGCATGGTTCGAATTTCATTGAGGCCTTGAAGGCCTTTCTTCCTGCATTCAACTTCAGAATCATATCGTTTACTTGATGATAACAAAGGAAGCTTTTTTGTTATTATGTTTGTAGTGTGAGCTGGTGAAATACTTTTGCAGATATTTTAGCAGATTTTTTAGCAGATTTTGCGAATCAGCGGCTTATTTTTGAATGGGTCCAAAGAGCTGGACGATAATCACATTTAGTATAATTTCACAGCTGAGCAAAGAGTTTCCAGCTGATTGGTCGAGCGGTTCCTTATATGACGCTATATAAACCCTTCCACGCTGTTTTGATAAAATGTTAAAATAAAATTTTAATAAATGTTACTAAAATGTTATTTTTTTTTAGAAATTTCTCTGTTGTTCAGCTCTGAAATTATACTAAAACAATTATTCGCCTCAGGTTCGATGAATATTGTCGAATAATCTCCTCGACTTCGTCTCGGAGATTATTCGACGATATTCACCTCGCCTTTGCATAATTGTTAAATATAGGCATACAAGTGAAATGTTCCTCAACTTTTATCTTACAAGATGCAAGCTGAGTTCCAGGTAAATTTCCTCTTGGCTTTTAATCTTTTCGGATAAGTATCTATTTTTCGATGGTAGATTTGTCAGCTACGCAGACAGGTAGATTGAGTGGTCGGACTCCATTATATCATATTGGCTGGTCGAGATATAACGCCCCTTCGACTCGCAGTGATCGAAGCAGTTAATGATTTGAGCGTTGGAATGACAGTCGAACATTTAGGTTGATCATTGAGTCGGTGCGGTTCTGAAAATAGTTTTGTAGGTGATAGTGGCTGAAATTTTTTGAATAACCAGAGTGGAATTCAGAGTCAGTAGCAACTTATTGATCGGTTTTCATGGATCCGTGGGTAAAATTGAGTAGACTCGATTATCGCCGTTTTCTCGGATTCAGTCTTTGATTCTCGGCGCCAGAAGTCTCTTCCATCGCTTCGTAAAAGGGGCTCATGTTCATTCCTAAACAACGAAAGCTTATTTCGTTTGGTTTCTTAATTGGGCTAATGTTGTGAATGAGAGCATATCTGCACATCTTCTACGACCACAAACAACTTATAATTGACGACAAATTAAACAAACAACAAGATATATTACTCGGCTTTTGAAGCAACTATTAAAACATAAAAGTTCTTATATCAAAGAGGTTTTAAATGATTGTATTTTAAGACACTTTCTTGTTAAATTTGGTAAAATAAGTGCCACTGCTAAATTTTCTTTTGAAAGAAATTATTTCATCACTCCCAGGAATGCATTTTTCCTCGGTGGGGGAGAAGGGCCTTCGTCCAGATCAACTGATCAAAAGAAAAGAGTCAAAACCAACTTACCAGTTTTATTCGAATCTCCCTTCCCCGAAAAGGCGCAGCAGTTCCGCAGGCATAACTTTGTGATCCTGTGTGAAAAGATATTTTGCTGAACAATTCTGCTTTGGACATACTGAAACTGAAAAATACGGTCGAACCTGTACTAAGCAGTATTCAGCGGTCACCCCGTACTAAGCAGTGGGTTTTCAAAGTCCCCAAATTTTTCCCCTTAAGAACGGGGCGGTCGCCTTTTTCAAGCAGTCGTGGTCACCGTTGAACGAGTCCCAATAGCCGGTTTGTATTGTCTTTTTGTATTCTACCTGTATTGAAAGGTCACTTAAAACGCAACCACTTGCATGAAACTAAGAATATTCTCTCCCGTCAAATTTATTCCATGGTTATGTTAGTCGTTTGAGTTGAAATGTCCCCAACACATAGCACATTTTCTTTCTTCTTTGGACTGTTTGGACATATTTGCCACGAAAATTACGCTGTACTTTTCCTGGTCAACCTGTATCAAGCGATCAACCTGTATTTAGCGTTCACTCCACCATTCCACGTGGTTCGACTGTATTCGCGGTCCGTATTCATTTGCAAGCTACAAGTCGTATCACGTTTGGGATATATTCATTCATTTTGAGGTCCTGAGAGTCTACTTAGTCGGTTTGGAACGGCTAAATTGGACGGGTGAATGAAGGGGATAAGTTTCTAAAGAAACTTTGGTGCTGCGTCGGTCGGGGTAACAAGTTGAAACGGCACATTGACTTTGATGAGTCTGACGACTGACATTTTCGACGAATCAAAGTCAATGTGCCAGTTTTTCGAAAAACGTGGTTACCCTGTTTCTGTCATTCAAGCGAGTCACCTCCGCGCCCAACTTATTGATCGACAGTCAGCACCACAAACGTCACAAAAAGAAAATTCCGACCTCATTCCATTCACTCTCACATTTCACCCTCACAGCCACGCAGTTAAATCCATTATTCTTAAAATATTTAAATTACTTCAAAACGGTCCAGAGACTAGTACTATCTTTTCGCAACCTCCACTTATTTCATGCAATCGTGGCAAAAACGTGGGCAACTGTTTGGTCAGATGTTCATTTCAAACTAATGACCAACCCGGAACTTTTGAATGCGCTCGCGCACAATGCAAGACATGTCCTTTCATTCTCAACGCTGAGAAAATATCGGGACCCAAATGATCCATTAAGATCACTGATCACTTCATGTGCACCTCCGCCAATGTCATCTATTCAGCATCACTTGCACTTATTGCAAAAAGAAATCATCGGCGAAACAGGAAGACGAGTAGGTGACCGATTCCAAAAACACCTTTGCGACGCAGAAAGGAATGACAAGGACCAGCAAAACCAATCGCTAGACATTTTAATTTACCTAATCATTCTAAGCAGCATATGGCAGTCGGCGGTATGCAGACTGCCATTAGGTAGCTCGGAAAGCCGCAAAACTCTTAGACAAAAGTTTATCTTTCAAAGTGGCACTCTAACTCCCACAGGTATCAACGAACGCTTTTCATTCTACTAATTTATTCGTGTTTTTCCCGTCACCATGTTTTCACCAATAGCATAGCTCCACTTTCTGTATATTAACACACACTCCACCCACAATTCATCCATTCGCTCTGACGAGGGACTAACGCTCAAAACGTCAGCTCTTTAACCCTTTACGGTGGCCAATTTAGTTTCAAATTAGTTGATAAAACTAAATTGGACGGAACTTTGCAGTCAATCGCAGAGAAATGTTGTTTTGCAACGCATTTGTTTGCTGACGTCATAAGTGTGCACAATTTTTAACAAAACAGATTTCATGTTGTCGTGCGTCTGTTTAGTCATAGATTAAAGATGACGTCAAAACTCGGTAAGAACCAAAAAGTTACATACGAGGCTTAGCAAAGCGTGTTAGTGATGTCCATGCCACATTTTGACTTCTTCTGTGATCTTTTATCTAACTGTGGACTAGTAGTAGTAAGAGTAATAGTAATCGTAATCAAAGTTTAATGTCTTTACGTGAGTCACGGTTTATTTCCCGAGCCAGAGGCTACTAAGTAATCAAAAGGCAAAGGAAAGCAAAACCAAAGCAACCTTGAATTACTTTTGAAAACTACTCCATGTGAAATTGGGTGATTTGCTTTTCCTATATGCGGCAGGGGCGAAAAGACGTCATTGTCTACAACACTCAAATGTTGTGCTTTTTATTTCCAGTTGTGTTCTTTTTCTCTTTGTTTTAAGAGATTCTTACCGCATCTTATTAGTTGACTCAGCGATATCTAGTTTTAATTGCCAAAATACAATACTACTAGGTGAAAGGTGCCTTAATGAAGAGAGGGACACTATTTACAGGATGAACGAATCAAACTTGCATTTTGTTACGGGGGATTAGCTTCAAAAGAAACTGTTGTACTGCCTCGGTGGGGAGTATAATGTGATTTTAATAAGAGATAATGTGATAATAAGGAGATAATGTGGTTTTATTAACTAAGTTAATGAGCTACTGTAAAGCTGGTGTTTCGGGTGCTGGCCCTCCGTCAGAGCGAAACGAAGCCAGCTGTAGAAACTCTTTACGGTGGCCAATTTATGTATAAAATATATATTTATATTATCGACGCAGTTTATAAAACCAAATTATCCTGCATTTTGTTACGTTTGTGACTCAGGAGAACCACAGCACTACAGACGTTATAATTATCATTATTTTTCAAGAAATAAGACCTTTGCTACATTCGTTACATGATTACATTCGAAATATATACTAAAATAAAAAAAGAAAAACAACAGTACAAAGTCACCTAAAAGGAAATTACAGTTTACCTTCAATATTTCTTGACAAACAGTCTTTTCTTGCTTTAGGCCGAGAAAAATTTCCTTTGCGACGGAACAAAAATGCGAGGGTACAAAATGATAATTAATAAAAAAAAAAATTTGAAATAAAAATTTTAGTGTCATTTCTTTGCGAGAAACGCAAAAACATTGTAATTATTTTACTCGTGTAAACATAGCCATATCCATTGGCTTCAATCTTTGTACTCCTAACTACTAAGAAATATATGACTTTTAAGCCAGTGGGAATGGTGAACAAGCTTAAAATTGTTCTTCAAACTACAGGATACTCAAATTTCATTCTCTTATTTTTTGGATCGGTTCGTCTGTTTTCTTCGTCGCTCGATAGACATTTAAACTAGTCAATTCATCAGCCTGTTTTCTTGGCCTATACTTTATATTTTAACCGAGACCATTTCTTTTACACTTATTAAGTCTTTGAAATACTTCCTAAAATTTAAGTGTTCTGTCCACATTGACCATGCAGTCTTTTGAACTGTCTTGTCCGCCGCAAAAATGTCATGTCATGTCATGGCATGTCATGTCCGCCGCAAAAAATTATCATAACACTGTCACTGGGTATGAGTTTGGGATGCGCAGCGCATAGTGTGCTTGTTCATTGTAGCCTACATTTGAGATTCTAACCATAATTGATTTGTCTGTGATACAGGACTTGAAACGACTAAGTAGTTATCATTACTATCATTATCATAACTTATCATGACTTATCATTACTAAGATTGTAATTTTTTCATTATTAGCATAGTTATCACAATATAACACTTATATAACACTGGTCAATTCAAGACATCGGACAAAATTTTCCGAGTTAAGAATCAGTTGATAAAAATCAACTCAGATCTGAACTCTCTCTCACTATTAAAAGATTTTGTGACAAAGAACAAAAATAAAGTTGAAGGCAAATTTTGTTATAAAAAAGAGAAAACAATATTCAAAAGTTTTCAAAGTTAAAGTTACAGTTACGAATTGTTGGAACTCTAACCATCACCTTCTGAACATGGTTTGGCCTCAATCAGCGAACACTCCCAACGAGAAATTAAGAAATAATCCTCTACAAAATTACAATGATTGTCACTACCGGCATTTTTAATGCTATCTTTGATAGAACGTTTAAGGATAATTGCATTCCGGAGTTGGGCAGTTACGGACATAAAAAAGTTTATAATTGATCCAACTCTGGTAGTCTTCCGCGTTAAATCTCTTCCTAACATTCTCATTTGGTAATATTAACGCATGTCTAATCTAAATCTTCTTATATTTCTGTCTAGGTGTAGAAAGCCACACCTCAGTTTTCTTATTCAAAATAAAACTTTGATTACGATGAGAATGATAACTATTGTAAATAGTTGCAGTAAGGTGAACTAATATTTGTCTGATCCTTGAGGAGAACCCGGCCTTAAAAACTTTTAGAATTGAAATTTTCAATCACGACTTGTAAATATATCTCCCTCTCTCCAGGTTCCAACGCCTATAAATTGCTAATGATGAAGAGAAAAGATGTGACAAATTCAGAAACTACTGCAGAAACTACTACGTTTCAGTTTCCATTTCTTTTCACCACTTGAACGCCTCACTTCATGATCACATTTATAGAAAAATGCTATCAGACCAACTAAAAATTGTACAACTACTGAAAATATAAAGACCACAACTAAAACCATATCACACAACAGTGTTCCTTCACTACTTGTTCAGTTGAGGCGGTTCGTCATCTCCTTATTTTCTGTGTTGTTGGACGATACACCGGCAAGCTGGCTTCAATGTGTGGTCCAGCATCAGACAACTGAGCAGCACTTAAATTGTCATCTTCATTGAGTAGGGACATCTGTACAACAGGAGCTCCATTTCCCGATGGGGAGAGACGGCGACGGCGCCACTTAACTACAAGAATAGCTACCACGAGGCTCAACAAAAAGATTCCAAGAATGCACGGTACCACAACCACATAAAGTTTGATCTCTATAGAGAAATAGTAACACGTCTTATTGATTGGAAACACAAAGAAACATTCCTCCCTTTAATGCGCGCATAAGCTTCCGCTATGAAGAGTCTAAGAACTTTGCGCTTAGTGTGTTTACATCTGTTCTTGATTTTGCTCCCGTGGCATTCAAATAAAGAGCCTACTTTGGTACATTTCACCAAGGAAAAAGGAAAAGCTAGTTCGCACCGGTTAGAAGCTGGAGTTTTACTCAGCACGTGCAAACAGCCAACTGGATTGCCTTATGACGGTTGTGATTTTTAATAAAAATCTTGTTTGATTCGAATAACGTGTATGCTATGTATGAATGTTTGTAGACTTGCCGGTGTGGCTTAGATTAATTCCGCTATAAATGGACTGCGCGAGAAGGGAGAAGCTGAGGTGGCTTCTAACCTCTTCCCCCCTCCCCCCGCCTTCAACTATTCCAGAGTTAAAAAAAATATAAATTTGAATAGATAAGTTCGGACTTTGACAAGGTACTTAAGCCCCGTTCAGACGGTCACGATAGTTAAAAAAGTGAAGGTAAATAGGGGTGGTCATTTACCGAGCCGCGAGGCGGCGGGGTAAATATCCACCACTTTCACCGACACTAGGGTGATTAATTGTTTTGGTATATACCACATAGATGCAAATAAATTAGTTTATTGCGGAAAAATGGTCGGATATTAAACTCTTTACACGCAATTTTGTCTGGTGCTTTTCACCTCAGAACTGCCTAAACTGCGCGCGCGAAAAGTACTTTTTATTTGTGAGTTATATACTACTTGAAGATAGTCACTTCTATATTGTATTTTAGAACGCACACTATCGTGCACTTTCGTCAACTTTCATCAGCTATCATGGCCAATATAACGTAGTTTTAGTACCCAAAAGCCACAAATGCGCACTCCATTGGACCCCAATTTTTTCGGGCTTTTTTCTGCAATGTTTTGAAATGTAATGCAACTGTGAGACTGAACTTTTGAATTGCAACAAAGCTACCCCTATTCAGTCATTGAAAAAGTATACCCACACTTGAATAACATACATGTGCGACAGTTATTAAACAATTATTCAATCTCAACTTCATGCTACCACATGTATGTCCCAAAGCCGGCATTTTTCGGTCAACATACTGTATGAGTAATTTTAAGAGAGGACGAGGCTCTTGGTCTCCTGGTAATTGTGTATTTGGGCCCTTTAGATTCGAATTGATGACTGGATTTGGCTGAAAAAGTGATTCCTGTACAATGCACTCAGTTGATTGTCAAGTTGGTAAAAATGACCATACTGGTAACCTTGGAGAGACTTACAATCGGCGAAAGATCGCCTTCCACTGCCCGCTGGTTTCACTCGACGGTAAAAGTTGGAGCAAGTTATCAACATAACAATACTAAAGAGTCTTTGACAAAGAACGGACAAACCCTCCTCCTTTTTGGTAATACTGTCAAACGTCAAAATATCTCCGATAGTAGAGGTAACAGAAAAAGGAACTTCGGTACTCAGTAACTATCAGCCACTGCATTGATGTTATTTGTCAATATTGTTTTTTCAATCATCATTCGGCCCACTGCGCCGTTTTTAGGGTAACTATGGTTCAAACAAAAGCATTAGATTTCTGTTTTAATCGAAAGCATCTATCAGAAGTGCTACAATAAGGGAAATTTTGTTGTTATGGTAATTGATTTAAGGATCGGATAACGAAGGCTTATCGACCTTCATTGAGGGAAAGTCGAACTAAAAGTCGGTTTGATAATTTAAGAATATTTCCCGTCATTTCTGGACAATTAGAATAAAACATTTCCACTGATGCATATCTCTGACCCACTTCCCCTCCAACCCTTCCCCTCTCTCTTGAAATATGTTATCTTGCATCCTTGTAGGGAGTGCGCAACTGCTTTGCGAAAAGAATATAAATACACCAACACAAATTTCTTTCTACTTAATATAATGATATGCCTACCCCTTGAAACTGTTGCTTTGAACCCGTTGGAACAGCTGCTTTCCATTGATGCTACAAACTCAATCGAAACACTATTTCCGGAGGTGTATAAGGTGCCAGGATTTGAGCAGTATTTTCCTAATAACTGACTTTCAGGGGTAGTTCCATCTCGCACTTCCAGGAAATCACACCGACATTCGGAACAATAGTTCAAGTCAAACTTGGAGAATTTAATTTTCACGCGATATCCTGAGGGAGAAACCACTAACCACCGAAAACGCGAATTCTTCGGATATTTGCCTGGAAATAGTGGACTTGATATCTCTGCGGTGGATGTTGTCACCAGGTCGATCCCTGCAACATGAATGACAAAAAAGAATATCAGTAACGATTTAATAACAAGAATTGACATGTAAACCAAAATTATCTCTGTATCCCTTGTAATCTGATGAAATCTGATTCGTACTTCCACAAACAACCAACAAAATTGTGAAAGCAAAGCTTGAAAAAAAAATTGAATGGTAATGTGCGGAAAAGATTTCTTTGGACAAAAATCTGCCACCGCAGTAATATCATTGCAGTTACTTGCAGCCCATCATAACTAGTTGAGAAAATAAACGCTAATTATCATTCGGGCTTGAACGAAGCCTAACTGTATTTTTGAGATTTTGTTTTCGCAACTTCATGTTCTTTTTTATTTACTTATTTATATTTAGTTTAAAGGTTCATCAAAAGTGATTTCGCAATAACGGAATAGTTTTGAGGCCAACTTTTGTTAGCCAGTTCTTCTCTTACAAATAAATGAACTTTTAATTTTTTTTTTCTGCGGATGTTTACAAATACCGAAATGATCTTAACTAGTGAGCTGCAATAGGAGACGGGGTTCGAACTTGTACCGGAATGTCCCAAATCCTGCGTGTTGGGAGCTATACTGTCAACTAAGATACGAAGCCACATGTTGAAAGAGGGGCAAGGTTAGAGATATCTTTGAATATAAATCAGTGTATTACATGGCAAGGTAGTCCTGAGGTAAATTCAAGCGTTCTGATCGGTTCTTACTTGGTTCGTATTTTGCCATACAGACTTTTTCCATGGAAACGGTCATAAGACGTGTATTTTTGTTCGAGCCGTACCGGGGAATACTGACCATCGTTCGTTATTGTACGGACCTCGCAGCGCTCGGTTCGGACTGCCACGACCTCCGGCCAATACATATATCTTATTAACCAAGCGCGAGGGCCGTACTGGGAGAACATCGGCCAGAGGTCTTGACAGTACGGACCGAGCGCAGCGAGGTCCGTACTAAAAAGACCGAGGGCCGATATTCTTCCAGTACGGTTCCGAGCAAGCTTGGTTAATAAGAGATTTATTATACGACTGAAGTTCAAAGGGAGCACAAATGCGGTATCATTCGAGACCATTCGGGACAGTGCCCGGTCCAATACTGAGGAAATATTGACCGGCAATAGAGCATTTTGATTGGTTGATTTTAGTTATTGGCCCTCTGACTGCCCGAGTCGTGTAATAATCCCCAGTTGAGCCCTCACGCTCAGTTAGTAAGACGTTATCATTTTGACCTGACTGAATGATCTTCTCAGGTGAATTTTCGTCTACACCGAAACTCCCGCAGGATTGATCCAGTGTTGTTGGTATAACATAGCATTTACTCATCCACACTCTCTCTTTCATCGTTACTATAACCGGTTTTCCTGCGTAGTCATTTTTTCATTTTAACTTTTCGGTTTCTGCTGCGCGGAATCATCTCCGGTTTTGGATTTGGTGGCTTCCGCTAGATTTTTCAAGTTTTTACGATAATTGACATTTGGTTTTTGGTTTCTCGTAATTGCCTGTGTGGTTGATAAGCAACGTTATTGAATGATTTTCGTTGCTGGTTTTTCAGTTTTGATGTAACTTTTGGCCACTTTTCCGGTTTTTGAAGGACCTTTATCACCCCTCACAGAGTGATGGCTCCGTAGACAGCGAATTTCCTTGGTATGGTTGAGTTATATGTTTGAATTACCTAATTCCATATAACTCCATTTCGCTAAACAAGTTATGTGCCATTTTATAAACAAATTCATTTCCTGAACCGTTGAAGGTTTTAAACATGACCGCAGAGCCTCCACCGTGACACGAAAGGCACTCCTCCCACCCAGCCCCTCTTTAAGAAACAAACAAACAAAAAAAAAAAAAACAAACAAAACATATGCAGCAACGTGCATTTACTGTTCAAACATAGTTGGACCAAGAACAACTTCTACGTAATTCAACTACGAATACAAAAAAGATAATAAATTAAAATTATTACTTCTATGAGATGGCCAAGTTTCGTATTCAGCAGCGAACCAGCTCTTGGTGTCACCAGCTTTCAACTTGAAATTCACGAAGAAGGTGCTTGTGCCGATAGACAAAGGTTCGGGTGGGATTGGCTTGTAACCACAAAATGTGTGCCATGGTGGTTTATGAGAGCTGTTCCTCAGTTCTATACGAGTGCAGCCAGCGCAATTGTCAGACAACGGGTAACTGCCATCGCTGCAACTCTCAATCTCGTAGAATTTAAAGTAGAAAACTATCTGCGAATCTTCAGGGACCCTAACTTTCCAAGAACAAATTCCGGATTGATTCGGAGTTGGGCTGCTTATTTCACCTTTAGCTTGTCTAAGGTTCTTTTCTGCACTTTGACAGACTACCAAGAACAGAAAAAAAAGGTGGAATATAAACGGTAAACCAAATATTCCGGACATTGCTTCAGGAAAAATTTTTTCTTTGTGCCGCTGCTGTTCGAACGCAGAAAACTTAAATCATCCTACTACCAAACGAAAAAAAACCCTTCCTCTCAAATATTTGGACGAAATGTTGATTATTGTACTTTTTTGGAAATAAATTAGTCAACAGTTAGGCTGCTTTTGTCCATACCAGTAGTTGATCAAGTTACTCATAAATAATCCCTCGCTATTTACAGCAACTCGCGATAAGCAAGTTTTTCTCTTGTAAAGAGACTTAAAGAAATAACTTCTTACCTGTTGAGTGTGTTTCAGTAGCCAAGAGAAGCACTGAAAAAGAAATGCATATAAAAGGTAAATGTCACAGCAAAAATGGCGGCTCAGCTTCCGTCACGCATCACCTGGTCGACAGTTTCCTCGTATGCAAATTTAGACACTGCTTAAACTTCAAACGTTCTTCTCAGGTTTAAAATCAAAACACACGTATTGTTGGAAACCTTTTCTCTTTCTGATTAAGAGATCTGAGAGCAGGATAATAATATGAATAAGCGACCTGCCTTTAAACTAAGCAGACAAATAGTCTGCCTTCATTTACTAATAAACCGTTGTTGTTTGTTCGCTTTCTTCTCGGTCACGTAACGTTCATGCGGACAAAACGAAATTTAAACCACTTGGACTGAAATAATCGAGTTAGCGCCCGATGGGAAAAGTTGAAACAAAAACATAGATGTGGTGTGTTCGTCTGTCTGTTGTAATCTGCTGTCGCCACATAATCACTACCTCTTACTATGAAGATGAAGTAGATTGCACTAACTTCAAGAAAATGTCAGATCGAACGCTAACGACACACAATCAAACGTTTTAACCTTATTATAACTACCCTGAACACTGTTGTTTACACAAAATTATCCACAGCAAATCGTTCGTAATCCCTAATGGCACGATCAACAAAAATTGTGCCTTGCAAAACCCTCTGAGAACGCCAGTTATGGTTCGTTAATTTCAAAATACTGCCATTCGTTTGGTACGTCAAAACATTGACTTACCGGTTGCTACAACCACAAGCATTGTTAGTGATACAGCGTGTGAACTCAAGCCTCCCTCTATGAACTGCGAACACTATGGTCGTAAATGAAAAGCAAACTTATCAACTCTTGCGTGGGAAGATATTGCAGACCAAAGTGCAGAGATGAAATATATGAATGACTATCCCATAGTGCTCACCGAGAATTACATAGGGCTCGTCTTATCTCTGTTCTCTTCCCATGATGCAAGCTGGTCGGGTTGTAGGCAAGTGCAACGTGAACTAGCAAAGAAGAAAATTGCAATGCAGGAAAGTTAGCCTGGAAAAGATTCCTCATCTTTCGTTTAATTGCAAAATTAAATCAGACTTATTAATTTTTGAAATATATCTATCAACAAAAGCCCTCATAGGCGATCAGTTGTGAAATCGAGAACTGCGAGGAACAGATAATTAATTGTCCAAGGCGCATACTTCAAGCAAAACGCAAGGTATATTGTGTATCATTCCTGTTAAGAAGACGTTACCGAACTCGTGCGCGTGCTTTGAAATTATGTATATTTATGTTTGTCGTCAGCAAATCACGCGGATTTTTTTCTTTGTTTTGACGTGTGCAAGTTTCTTTTTAAGGAGGCTGGATATGGTTTCTTTGATGCGCGCAGACTGGGTTCTAATTACCCCGGGACTTTTAAAAAGTTGCTAAAACAAAAACACAAACAAATAAACATGGCCGCCGTGCTTAAGCCAAAATCATTTTTTCATCTGCCTAGTACACTATGTTTTACGCTTATAGGTAGGCTGCCTACACTTCCTTCTAACTTTATTGTAGTGTGTTTCAAAAACGGAAAGCTACAACACTCTCAAGTGACCAAAATACGCGTGAATCCGGCCGCAAACACGATCGCGATCGTCGGAGCTATTTTGCCATATCGTGGCTGGTTTCCGGAACACTAAATAGGTGCTATCTACATGCAATATCAGCAGCTACGCTTCTCGAGTCAACAAGTCACTGTCAAACCTGTGAATGGTGAGAGAACTTTGCTCAAAGAGAACGTTCCAGTACACTCCTGAGCGAATGTCTTCAATCTTTTACCACTTTCCTTTCCAGCAGTACGCATTGCCACACCGTTTTAATTGGCCATAATTCTTCTGTGTTCGACACTCCTTTACTCCTACGATGTGCTGGAAATTCAAATAAAGAAACATTATCGTCGAAGAACATGTTTTTCGCCGATAGCCTTCCACTCATCAAAACACTGTGTCCTCTTTCAATCCCCGTTGCAGCTACTAAGCGCTGACATTGTAAACAACAGCAATGTGAAATCCACCTCCCTCGCTTTCGAAGACATGGAATTTCTTGACGGACGCCGCGAAAGCATGCAAACTTTCAAAGACAAGCTCTCTTCACAGGGCGATAACGAGCTCCTCGTCAAAGAAAACATCATTCAGAAAATTGTAGAAAGCGGCCTGTGTTACGATGACTTATTCAAAAGATCTTAACAACAACGGTGGGAAGGAAGCACTTGTCGCCATTCTTAGCAAATCTCCAACCACATCGCGTCGATCAGCTCCACGAGGAACAAAACATCTTGACACTTTGCACAAAATAATCCAGCACTTTGAAGGTAAATAGAGCAGCAGCCATTTCCAGGCGCAATCCACCCAGAAGGTAAACCTCTGTTAGCAAAATAAAGCTCTTTAGAAGAGCGCGAAGGACGTTCGGCGAAACAAGACGTTCGAAACCTCGTGGCGTCCGTGGCAAGTGTCGTGGCGTGACAGAAATGTTGCGCATGCGCAACTGCCCATCTTGTCGAGTCGAAATTTTTTGGAAATTTGAAACTTTAGACTGACGTATTTCCGTTGCCGCTCGGAGAATTTTTTTTATTTTTTGCACGTTAACTTTGAACGGCTCTGTACGTGTTTCGCAAAAATTCGAAAAAATTCTGTCGAGGGAAAAAAGGTTAACGGTGAATTCTAAGAAAGGCCTCTTTTTCTTAAACTTTCTGACAGAATTTTTTTAAACTTAACAGTCAAGTAGACCAAGACAGTCAAAGGACGCATGCAAAATCTAAAATAAATTCACCGTCCAGTTTTTAAGAAAAGTCAAGTCTAATTTTGGACCCAGCATTGCAACCCAGCAAAGTTGCCATGGCAACGAATTTTTCAATAGATTTATAACAAACTGATTCTTCAATAACATCTTTATTTTAGGGGAAAATGTGATATCGATTCGTTAAAGCTAAGCTTCGTAATTTTAGTTTAAATATCTTGCATCAGAAAAGTGAAAAACTATATCCAGCCTCCTTAGGGTGGCTGAAAACAGTTTTCCCGCGCGCTTTTGCTGATGCAATTGAGCGCGCGTACAAGGATTGTAAAAAACAAACATGCCGTCAATAGAGCGGTCATTTTATTTACTCAACACGTATCCGCACTATCTGTGCTATTTTCCTCTATAGTTGGCGCAGTGTATTGAGGGCTTTAATCATTATTACAAACACATGTTAGAAAAGTTAACGGTGCAAGGAATCCAGCAATTCTCAGCTTTTCCGTCGTTTCCGAAAGAACCCAGTTAAATGCAACTCATGCGTAGTAAGTAAAAAAATTGCGATTGAATGGAAAGTTGCTTTCTCGGAAATATGCCTATTTCTTGACAACCACTCCTTAGAATTTCACGAAATTTGGCACCAAAATACTTTACGAAATAAGTAACTGGAGTATTGGAAAAAAAAGGATTTTTAACAAAGGAAACTCTAGATAATCGAGTGAACCTCCAACAAGGAATAATTAAAGATCTCCATTAAACTGTTAGCAAAATGATGTTAACTTGTGAGTATCATTACAAGCTCGTTGCATGCAAATTATAAAGAAAATCTAATGACTAGATTTTCTACAAATAAACAAAACCGATTTTAAAGGCCTGTTTATATTTATCCATGTCGCCATGGCAACGGCACCTACGTCAGCTTAACTATCGCAAAAACAAAGTTTGTATTGTTAACTTGCTTGCTGTCAGTTTTGGCGACCAAGTGATAAAGGGTTTTTTAGAGAAAATGGTGAAAGAAACACAGGTATCAAAAACTTTGTTCAGCCACCTTAAAAGTTTTGAGTTTTTCGAGTGGCAATTTGTTTGGCGTTCGTTGGTATTTACCCTCTTTACCGTGAGTTCACCGTTTGCCGTGTTACGAATAAATCTGTTTGTTTGATTTCCGTTTCGCTTCCGAACAGTTTTGGCCACCACGATGGAAGCAAGGTATGAGCTGTTTTTTGAAGTTTCGTTAGCGAGTTGAGTTTTGGAGTTGAGCGCTATTGCTTCCGAATCCGAAGATCGCGATGTTATCGAAGTTACCGAGAAAGACGACAAAACTATACTGAGCGGAGTCGACAAACAGAAGAAAAAGGACGTTCTGTTGATACAGAGAAGGAAACGTACCGCAAAGACAAAAGTGACAAAACTCAGACATGAGTTGGAATCCGTAAAAGATTCCGAAATAATGGACGTAGAAAATGTGATTGAACAGCTGTGGGCAGCCCTAGAGGACGCACAAGAATTTTTAGAGGAACTGACCGCGTTCTATGTCGAAGTCGAAGTAGAAGGGAAAAACGAAGCATTTGAAGAGTCCGAAACGATCGAAAGAGTTCCAAAGAACAATTGAAGCGGGTCAAAATGCGATCAAAGTCCGCTTGTCCAAAACCGTAAATATGAACTGCCCGTTAAGCGAGAACATAGCAGATCGCTACGAGCAATCGTCTCGAGAAGATCAGCTGAACGAAAGTCACGGCAGCCACGACGACCGAAACCGATATTTGAAGCCCGGTTAACAGTTCCGACGTTCAGAGGTAACAAAAGAAAGTTTAAAGATATTTGGGCCCCTTTTACAAGTCTCATAGACAAGTCAACGAAGCCAATACACTTGAAAGTGGCAAGACTACAACAATGCCTAACAGACAACAACAATGGCAACAACAGTGGCCAGACTACAACAATGCCTTTGGAAGCCATCTTGGAGTCACCATCCCCGAATACGAGGAGGCAAAAAAAAATATTTAAGACGAAGCATGGAGGTACGCCCCAGCTTTAGCGAGCCTACCTGGATCACCCAGAACAGGCGCCATTAATAAGAAGTTACGATGTCTACGCGTTAGAGAAGTTTACTGACCTTGTTAGAAYTACAGCGGTAAAGTTACAGCCCAAAGGAAGAAACGGTGAGTTACGAGATGGAACTCTTCACAGCCTGCCTGATCGTCAGCTAGAGAATTACAGTCGCTGGTTAAACGAATGTACCAGACAGTCAGTCATAGCTTTTTAGAGAGTGGTTAAAAAACGAATAGAAGCAGCGGACATGGTTAACGGGATTGAGTCGAAATCTATCGAGCACGTCAGACTACTGAGAGTACCGAGGTACCAGGATCAGAGCAGGATGAGAAATTTACACACTGTTGCATGGGGAAAGAGCCGCGCAGTGTGAAGCTTCCATGTTCTCTCTGTCACAGTTTCAATCACGGGGTGTGGTATTGCAAGGAGTTTTACGACAGAGGGGTGGATGACCGATGGAAGATCGCGAAAGAAAGAAAGCTGTGTTTCCTTTGGTTAACCCCTGATCATAGGGGGAAAGATTTCCCTAAGATGGCCCGCAAGTGTGCAATAGATGGTTGTTCTCGAAATCACCACCTTCCTCTTTATGGAGGTGAAGTTTTGTCAAAATAATGGACTTGTCGATCTTTTGATTGGCATTGATAACGCTGAACTCCATTATTCACACGTTGATCTCCGAGGAATACATGGTGGACCTATCGCCCGCTTCGGACCACTTTGTGGATTTGTGTTGGTGCACCTGACGAAAGCGAAACCGCGAGAACATGATCTCACGTTATTCGTTCCTTGTTCACTAGAGAGCCTATATGAAACGAGGGAAAAGAATCCTCTCGTGATGTCGACAAAAGCTTAAAGAGATGCTGGAAAATTGAGAAGTCTGACAAAGACCGTGATGACAGACTTGTACTAACTGAAGAAGAAATGCTAGCTTGAAGCAAAGTGAAAGATTCTCTCAAGTACAAAAATGGAAGATATCGTGTAGCCGTTCCTTGGAAAGAAAACAAACCCGATCTCCCTAACACTAAACTATGAGACTGTGGCAATTTGAAGAAATTTGAAGAAAAACAGCTGCGTCGCCGAAGAATACCAAGCA